TCAATCAATAAATCAGTCAAGCAATCAATGCCTGTATCATTCAATCGATGTATCAGTCAACCATTCATAAAACCCGACCAAGCTAACCGCGTACCTACTTTTTGCTATATATATCACAGGTCTCGTACAACATCTCATCCGGAGTAGGAGGAAAGTTTGCCATCAACTCTACTACAGGTGTACTAACCACAACATCAACTCTCGACTACGAGACTGTACCACTGTATAACATGAAAGTCATCGCGTACGATGGTGGCTCAAGACAAACAACCATCAATGTGATCGTAACAGTCACTGGCGTCAACGAATTCACACCATCATTCATACCCAACAACACATACCAACTCTCATTGGCTGAAGACATARCAATAGGACATGACGTCATCACCGTGTCAGCTAGCGACCAAGATAGTGGTACACAAGGCTTGGTCACTTATGCCATCCTTAGTGGAGATACTTATGGTAACTTTGTCGTAGATCGATCTTCAGGTCGTATTGAATTRCGTAAGGCTCTGGATTACGAGACAGTGTCTAGTATAGAATTGACTGTCATTGCGGTTGATAGTGATGAAGGAAGTCCTAAGTCTGCTAACGCTAAGGTCACGATTAGCATCGTAGAYGTGAATGATAACTACCCACAATGCAGCCCGAACCTGCTGACGCCCGCTGTGTCAGAGACAGCGGTGAACGGTAGTACTGTTGCYATGCTCAATTGCAGCGATAAGGATAGTGGATTGAATGGGCAGTTAACTTATACCATCACAAGTGGAAACTCTGCAGGTATACTATATATCAGTATTTCATACTATATATTAGTATTTTTTACTTTTATCAGTTTGCACCTATGCATGCATGCAAGCTGCCATAATAGACCTTTGAACCTTTTACGTCACTACTTCACTTTCAATGCATTGTGGGCTCAGCTTCTAGAAAAAAAAACAAACAAAAGAAATCCGCCATGTTCTGTCCCAAACATATCCCACAATGCATTGCGTATACGGTGCGTGACTTAAAAGCTTCAGAGGTCTATTGCTCAGGCTGGGTTTTTGGAGTTCATATATCAGTCAGTCACATGAAAGTACTTACTTGAATCGATTGTTTAGAGATTAATATCATCTAATAATATATYAATAATCTGTTATTGCTATTCCAGGTTACTTTACAGTATCAAGCATAGGTGTGGTTACTCTAGCTAAATCTCTAGACTACGAGTCGGTCCAGTCCTTTCCCTTAACGATCACAGTCACAGATAATGGCGCTAGTTCCAAATCTTCACAAGTATCAATACAAGTAATGGTAACTGAAGTCAACGAACACTCGCCAGTATTCACCAACAGTGCTTCATACGCCACGTCCGTGTCAGAGGACACTAATGCGGGYTCAGAAATACTTCGAGTGACAGCTAACGATGGTGATAAGCACAGTGAAGTTGAATATACGATCATCGCAGGGAATGATGGTAGTTTTCATATCGATTCGTCCAATGGTGCGATATCTCTTTTAAAGATACTTGATCGAGAGATTAGTGCGTCTCATACATTGATCATCAAGGCATCAGATGGTTTACACACTGCAAACGCTACAGTTCTTGTTACTGTGTCTGATGTCAACGATAATTCCCCCGTGTGTAGTCCAACGTCGTACGCAGCTGTTATCGCAGAAGACGCTGGCGTTGGGTCGAGTGTGGTTCGAGTCACGTGTTCAGATGACGATGAAGGGTTGAACAAGGAACTATTCTATAGGTATTGCAGCTAATCCAGTTGATAGTGCCACTGTTACTAGTTAATTACATGAGTTTTTGAAATTAAGAATAATGCTCTAGTCAAACAGTTAAGTTTAAGCGATTCAATATCAAAATTTTTGGGCGACACAATATTTTAGTCGCGCGCTGAGGCAACTTTTCTGATAGCCTATATTATGCGATGTTGTTGGATAAAGTTTGAGGGCGTGTTGCCAGCAAAACATCTGTTTGAAAATCAAAAAAATTGTTGGACACTTTTTATTTCAGTATTATGTCAGGGAACACCAACACAGACTTCACAATTGATTCCAACGGGACAGTCATAACTGCGCGTGCTCTTGACTACGAAACCACGCCCTCTTACACACTAACTGTTAAATCACGTGATTCGAGTAGCCCAAGTAATTTACAAAGACATGTGAACTTAGAAATCAGCATTGCTGTGACTCCAGTGAACGAACATCCGCCTGTCTTTACGTCATCAAGTTATACACACAATATCCAAGAGGATACAGTCATAGGGACGTCTTTGATTAGGGTCACAGCTACAGATGATGATAATGGTCCACAAGGTAGGTATAGTAACAGATGGAAGTTAAACAAAAACATTTTGTGAAAAACTGTACTTCGTAAAAAGAAAAGTTTCCGAGAAAGCGTGAGTACCGCGGTTATTTCTTATTTTTTACAAAACTACATTTCCTTTTTCCATAGGGGAAGTCTCATACTCTTTGTCATCCTCGTCATTCTACATCGATGCAACCAATGGAATTATTCGCCTTAAAGCTGCTCTTGAYCGAGAATCTACTTCATCATACTCGCTAATGGTTACGGCGCATGACAATGATCCTGTTACCTCTGACCGGAAGTCAGCGAATGTCACAGTTACACTAACTATAA